ATTTTTTTTTTTCGGAGGGAGCCGGGTCTGGCAACTCCGCCGGCGTCCGGCTGCGGCATTCCCCCCCGCGGTGGGGGGGCTGCCGGGAGGATGGGTGTGCGCGCCGAGGTCCCCGTGCGCTGCCCCGCACTCCACCCCCTGCGCAGAGGAAGCCGGGCAGGGGCGTGGCCCCACGACAATGGGACTCGCCGGCGCTATAAATACCCGCCCGCATCTATATTTGGTTTGGCCGGATCACAACCGGGGGGGGGGGCGGGAGGGGGTGTCCCAAAAATAGCCCCGCGCACCCGCCCGCCGCCGCCGCCGCTCAATGGACTCCGGCCCCGCCCCCTCCCTCGCGCGCGATCCCGAGCGCCTCGCGCGGGGCCCGGCGGGGCTAAATTTAGCAACGCCGCTTGCGTCAATGACGCGGCCGCCGTGCGTCAGCCCCGCCGCGCCCCGCCCCTCGGAACGGGGCCCGCCGCGTCCTGTGCGTGGATTGGCCGCGGCGGCGGCACGAGGGCGGTGACGTGGGGGCGCGGGCTGGCCCCCGCCGGGGGCCGGCGGCGTCCGGAGGGGAAGCGCGGCCGCGCGGGGAGCCCGGCGGGTTCCCCCGCGGGGGGAGCGGGGTCTGGCAGAGCCGCGGCCCCGGAGGGAGGGAGCGAGGGAGGGACGCCCCGGCGTCCGCGGGAAGACGGCGCGCACCGCCTCGGGAAGGGGATCCCGGGGTCGGACGTTGCCTCCGCTCCGCCGGTCCGCGGCACCCGCCGAGCCCTGCGCCTGCCCCGACTTTGCCTCCCGAGGAGAGAGCACGCTCCGCGGTGGTGCCGGCGGCGGGATGGTGGAGCGAGAGGCAAAGCGAAAGTGCCACCGCTGCCGCCGGTCCTTCCTCCTCGGGGCGGCAGGCGCCTCGTCCGCCCCGGCTCCCGTCCGTCGGGAGATCTCTTTGGCGGAGCCCCTCTGTGCGAAGTACTAGCGCAGCACCGGCCGTCACGGCTGCGGTGACGGTCGCGAACATCCAGGCTGCCGGCGGTGGATGTAAACACGGCACCGGGTACGGCGGCGGGCGGCTGCTGCCAGCGGACACAGCGGGGGAGTCGTCCGCCGCCAGCCCGGTGCCCCGGACAGACACACGGACACCGAAAGATACTCGGACACAGGCAGTCACAAGCAGGCGGCAGCCCGGACGCTTCTCAGGGCCGCTCGCATTAGTGCCGGCTCTGTGAGCGGCACCTCTCGCAACCTGCTCCTTGCTCCTGCGCACTGGAAAGTTTCGAAAGAAAAGAAAAAGAGAGTGGAAAAAAAAGGAAAAAAGAAGAAAAAAAAAGAAAAAGTGGGAGAAGAGAAAATAATAGGGAAAAAAATTAAAAGGCAAAAAGAAAAAACGTTTTTAAAAATGAAAAATAAAAAAGTGAAAGAAACCTTTACTAATTAGTCCTAAAAGTTCCACTAAGTAACCAAGCAAAGCTCTTTTCATTTGAGCCACTTCAGTAAAGATACAATAATTTTGTTATTAGCACTATCTTAATAATAATAATGATTATTAATATTATTATCAGACTTGGGAACGAATCGCTAGGCTGCGACGGGCAGGCGGCCCCGAGGCGGCCGGCCGGCCGGCCGTGCCGTCCCGCTGCCGGCGGCTCAGCACGGCTCTGCCGGAGCTCCGCACCGCTCCACACCTCTCGGCTGTGCACGGCTCGGCTCGGCGCGGCGCGGTGCAGCGGGAGCGCGGCGCACACACTGGGGCGGGGGGGGGGGGGGGGGGGGGGGGGGGGGGGGGGGGGGCCGGGGGGGGGGGGGGGGGGGGGGGTCAGTAGCGTCAGGCTCCCATGGCGTCACTATTGACGTTTCGCATTCCAGCCGCTCTATGGAGAGGCCGCTAGGGCTCCTCTCACATAAATGACGTTCAGAGAGAGGGAGCGGGAGAGCAGCGCAGAGAGGCGCCTCCGTCCCCTCTCTCCGGCGCAGGCACACGCGCACCCCGGGGCACTCGCACCGGGACGCGGGCACAGGTCCCGGCCCGGCTCCCGCCGCACACACACAAAGGCACATCGCGGCGGCGGCGGCCGCTCGGCATCCCTCGCCCGCCCGCCTGCTCACTCCCTCCCTTCGCCCGGGGACGGGCTCCTGGCTCCTCAGGCTTTTTCAATCCTTTTCCATGCCTCGGGATAACGCACCCTCTGGACCTGCAGCTACCCGGAGTCTGAGGGATTTTGTGTCTCGGATCCTGCCGCTGGACAGCGCCTACACACGCCTTTAAGGAAGCGGGCACCTACAAACTAGATGTAAAGACGGAACCTCCACAGCAACCGAGTACGTATGCGAGTGAACGGGAGCGGCTGAGGGAGAGGGACAGCGCGGCGTGTCCCCACTCCGTGAAAGTTATGCCGCCGGGGTAGAGATGCTGGGGAGATGCCGGCGGCGAGCGATGCGGCTCAGCCGACGCGCTGCCGTGCCGGGCTCTCGCTGAAACTTTTCCCTCACCTTCCCCCCCTCCTCCCCCATCTTCCCCGTGGATGCTCAATTGCCGCTCGTCTTCCGAGCCTCGCTGCCTTCTCGGCAACTCCTGCCGTGCGCGGGGCACTGCTGCCCCTCGCAAACGGGAGGGCTATGGTTGAGCGGAGCGGGAGCCGGAGCCGGTGGTACTAAGGTATTTCTGCTAGTTGTTGTCATGGAAATGATGCTGCCGGCGGCGGCGGGGAGTTTACAGCGCCGGTGATGAATGGCAGCAATTTGTCTCCTTCCTTTAGCCGCGCTTGGGAAATAGGTGGTTCTGTTTGCACAAGTTCAGCTGTCTAATAGGGACGGCGAGGCAGGTTGAGCTCATCTCACTTTGGGAGACAGCAGCTCCCCTCGGCAGCCCAAAGAGCTCGCCCAAGAGGTAATTGCTGGAATGTGACATATTGTATTGAAATGAGACGGGATGTTTGCACGGCACGTCTGCCCGGCATCTGCTCTTCGGAAATGTGCACTTTTCCCTTCGGAGGTCAGAAGTGGTAACGAGGGGCCGCGGTGCCCCGGCACGGGCGGTACCGTGCGGGGACGCTGGGTTGCGCCGCCGCTGCCCCGCTCCCTGCCCCCGCGGCGCCTCTCGCCTTTGCCTTCTCGCCTTAATAGCTGCGAAAGAAGTTTCAGTCTTGGAAAGAGGCGAGAAAGCGCGGGCGTTGGGTTGTGATATTATGCAGAGAGACAGTTATGGGGGCAGCATTATCGCGATAGTCTGTCCCGGGCAGAGATGCCGCTCACCTTAGCCCGGCTAGTTAAGAACGCAGTTACTTAACTTGCAGTTTTTGGATACGATGGAATCCGTGCGAGAATATTTCCCAGGGAAAGGGCGTAAAACAGTGTTTTATGCAGGGAGATTGGTGTGTTGGGATAGGATTTTTTTTCTCCAGGAAAAAAAAGTTTGGGAATGAATCGCTAACTTTTATCCAAGCCGCTTCACTCGATTACATTCTTCGCCCTATTTTTCTCTCCTCCGTGGAGACCGTTGTATGCTGGAGTCAAGCCCCGGTAAAAAACAATGGACTAAACCAGACCAGACGATTTCTTCGGAGGTGAATCTCACGCGATCCCGTGGATATTTGCTGGAGTGACCGTGCGGCTCGGGGCGATCCCTCCCACTCCCCCCCCAAAAAAAATCGCCAGTTAACCGGCCGTGGAAATCCAGCACGAAACTTTTTAATTGAATGGAGCTTCCCCCTCCGCAGTCCCTCCCGGGTAAATGAAGGTTTCGAAACTCGCCTGAAGAAGTCACAATCACAATGGAGTATTTCACGGTTTCCTCCTCATATTACAGGGTGGGGAGGGGTGTCACTCGGGGCTGAATGTAAAGTGCACGGAGGAAGAAAAGAGCTTTGACAAGGGTAGTTATTTCCTCCTAATTTACAGCCCTTACGGCCCTGCGCTCCTGGCTCGGGCGGCGGCAGCCCGGAGGGGTGCTGCGTGGTTAAAAGCGCAGCGAGTGTCTCTAGGTAACCGGCGGCTCGGGGGGGCAGAGGAGCCCTAGGGCGCTCCGCGCCGAGCGGGAAACCGCCTCGCAGGAGCTCGTGAGGGAACAAAACCCTCGGGAGAGAAAGGGATGAGCTGACAGGCACTTAACACCCCGGGAGCTGGCGGGAGTTCAAAGGCGAGGGGCGCGGGGAAGGCAAAAGAAAGACAAGGAGTGGGAGAAAGAGTCGCCGGGGAGCGGCTCCCGTGGGCAGGGGCCGGCGCGGCCGCGCATCCCCCGCGCTGCCGCGGAGCCCGGTTAGCAGCGCCCAGAGGGTCGGGGGGAGGCGGCTGGGCTGCGCTCTTTCCCCCGCGCCGGCGATGATGGGCCCGGAGACACCGCACAGGGTTAGCCGGGCCGGCAGGACACCCCGCAAGTCTGGCCGGTACCTTGCATAGAAACTCCCAGCCTGCTTTTCCCCGGTCTCTGCATGCCAAAAAGAGAAAGTTCTCACGGGGAAGTGGACGCTCGGGATGCTGTCCCGCTGGCTGTAGTCACCCCGCCCGGGGTTCTCCTCTTGCCTTCCCCAGGCTCCTCTCTCGGAGAACAAACCGGGGGCTCGGTTGTCCCAGCCCGGTGCTCTCTGCCTTTTGTGTGATGAGGGAGCGGGAGCCGGCAGGAATGCGCTCCCCGGCCGGCTCCCTCTTCCCACCCGCGGGGCGAGGCGGGGGATTGCCGTGCGATCGCCAGGGACGGTCCCCACCACGTCCCCCCGGGGCGCCGCGGCGGGAGGGAGGCGGGGGACTCCCCTCTGCCCGCCGGGCACCGCCGCCCCTGACTGTGCCTTGTCTCTCTGCCGGCGGACAGAGCCCGGGTCGGAAGAGCGCCCCCCGCCCAGGCCAGGCCCCGGGCCCGCCTCTGCAGAGAGGTCCCAGCCGGCACCCACCCCGCCGCCGCCGCCGCCCGCCGCCGCCTCCGTCCGCACCTCCAGCCCCACCATTCAGCGCGCAAGATACCCACCAGGTAAGCTGCCGCTCCGGGAGAAGGGCAGGACGAGAAGGAGGAGGAGAGGGGTGCGGGAGCTTCTGGCGCGGCCCCTATCCTTCCCAAATCCCTTTGGCATTATCGGCCCCCGACGTCCCGGGGAGCTTAAATCCCAAAAGGATCAGAGCAGCGCATGCCTTTCGCAGCGCTTTTGGTGGTGCCGTGCCTGGGCACACGAGGTTGCGAGCCCGTGCCCAAGACGTGCCAGATTTAAGGGCAAGCTGGTTGGAGGTGCTAGTGTCCCTGTGAGGAGCACAGTTTACCTGGCGTTAAGCTGAGCATCTTTTACCTCAAGTTCTCGCAAAGAAAGCAAAACGCCTTGGTAATAGCACCTGGTAATGTCCCTGCCATGATGCTTTTACCCATTCATTTAGGTTTTGATGACAGGTTGCTCTTCAATGCACCTCCTATGGGGCATATTATTTTATTGTTTTAATATTGTTGGATAAAGACAAAAAAATCCTAGGTTATTTACTTTGCAGGGGAATTAATACTGGTGCCCTAAGTGGAAAAGTAGGGGTTAGACACAGACAAGTGCGTTGGCAAAAGGCGAGGTAGGAGGAGTCCCACAGAGCCAGGAGAGACCAGACCTTTAGGTTAGGGATATTTTTTCAGTCCTCCGGTCAGAGTTATTTTAGATTTCTGTTTTTCTACTCCACTTTGCATAGAATTCAGTGGCATAACTCTGTTATGCTCAGAAAAATGCAGAAAAAAAAAGGCATAATGATCTGTTCCCTTGAACTCCTGCTTATTTTCTGAGCTAGCTAAAAAGCCTTTTTCCTTCGTAGAGCTGTGTATCAACACGTCCACTTGTGACATTAGCTGTGAGCTCATTCTGTTGTGTTCCTCCGTCAGTTCTCAGTGGAGGTGTGTGGAAAGAATGTCTTTCCCTTTTTAATTTCATTAAGCACTGATCACTATGTTTTAACAGCCAGTCCTTAAATTAACAAATGATAGTGATATGACTTGCCAGGAAATGTGTGTGCGTGGAATGGCATGGGCAGAAATTGACAGGAAAAAAAAAGAGAACAGTAAAATAATACATAAATAACATTGGGAGGCAAGGCTTAGGGGAGGGTTCCCCTGCCTTCTTCTTCAAGCTTTTGGATTTAAGGCAAGGAAGGTCTTAATTTCAGGAAACAGCACTGATTTTTTTTCTCAGATTTTAGTGTTTTCTCGAGACGAAGAAAGATGTGAATGGTTTGTGACAGCGTGATAATTCAAATTTGGTGCTTGGTTTAAATATCTTTATCTGCAAAGCGGGCAGGAAAGAATTAAAAGTTGATTTAACACAAATTATTTGGATTCCTGCATGCCAGGAGTGAATATTTTAAAATTGTAAGTGGAAAGAGCTTTCTTAAAATAATGAGGAAAATCTCATTATTTTCAAGGCAAGTTTGTTTCTTTTTTTAAACATGAATTATTTCTCAAGTGCTTCTGGAATATAAATTACCATGATTAAAAAGAGATGAACTGCACTTAATTTTGATATACATTTTATCCATATTTACTTTTCTCTTTATGAGAAGATTTATACTAATTGATGCATTTTATTCCTCTGCTGTGGAACCAAAATACACCACACACTTCGAGTTACAAATATTGGCCTAGAGTCTCACAGTGTTTAGTCAGGCAAGCCTCAGTGAATTGCAGAATTGGGTCTATTATTTCCTGTGACCAGCAAATTACATGGCAGACTAGTAGGAAATGTAAAAGAAAATAACAATCAGATCTTTTTAGCCAGGCACTGTGTTGCTTCAACCATCCCAGCTATCAGTGAATTGCATTAAGTTTCATGACTAATGAATAAAACCTACTGTATTATTGGCCTCAACCTTGCTTTCACATGAAAACAGAAATACCACATACCTTTTATCCTGCATTTTTGCAAATTGAAAGGGATGTTGTACCCTCCACTTTTTAAAGGAGAACATTCTACCAGAGATAAGCCTTAAAACTAATAATGAGACAGCAACCTTAAATTATTAGCTGACTAGAAATATTCTTCAAAGGTCAGGTCCAGAGCTGAGTAAGCAAAATTGGTGTTTGCAAGTCCTGAGTAGCAAATCTTGTGATTTGAGTAATTCCTCTGACATGCACTGCAGATGCTGCTTCTTTTAAAATAAGTATAATTTTTAATATTATGCATTTGATAATCTCGTTTACCCTTCATGAAAATTTTACAGCATGATTGCATGCATAGAGAGATAGATTTAGAGTCATAAACTGTTCTCGTTCTGCTTATCTAATTCTCATTGACACCTATGTATATTAAGCAGCAGATGTAGGGCAGCTTGAGATGGATTCTTCTCTTACTGACACTGGTATAAATGCGAGTTTCTCCCTTGGCTAGACGAGAGCAGGCTCCATAGTACCGAATGCTTAGTCGATCCCTGATACATATTTCTTGTAGAAAGGAAAAGGCTCGAGGCTAATTTAAATGTCCGAAAGGGAGCTGGGTGCCTATCTGAGCTCTGGGAAAACTTCTAGGAAAGAAGTTTGTGATGGCCTGGGCATGGCCTGGTGCGCTGGCCTTGTTGTTCACGTGCCCTTTGCCCTTGCAGATATGCCCTGTGTGCAAGCGCAGTATAGTCCTTCACCGCCCGGTTCGAATTATGCATCCCAGACCTACGCGTATGGCTCCGAGTACAGCTCAGACATCATGAACCCTGACTATGCCAAGCTGACCATGGACCTGAGCAGTACCGAAATCACTGCCACTGCCACCACCTCCCTTCCCAGCTTCAGCACCTTTATGGAGGGTTACTCTGGCAGCTATGAGCTCAAGCCTTCCTGCCTCTACCAAATGCAAACTGCCTCCTCTGGCCAGAGGCCCCTCATAAAGATGGAAGACACCCGGCTGTCGCCGTACCAGCCCTCACTGCCCCCATCTACAGACGAGGGCATGCCCAGCACTTCCATGTACTTCAAGCAATCTCCACCCTCCACGCCCACCACACCCGGCTTCCCTGCTCACCAGGGCCTGTGGGACGAGCCCCCGCTGCAGCCCACGCAGACTTGCCTGCCTCCCGGCCACCTGATGGACGCCAGCCCCATGAAGACCGTGCCTCCGCGCTTCCCTCTCTTCCACTTCAAGCACTCGCCTCCGCACACGCCGTCCGCGGCCGCCCACATGTGCTACGACCCTGCCTCCCTCAGCCTGCCCCTGGGCTCCGACAGGCCCGCCGCCAGCCAGGCTCCCATGGAGGGCCATTCCTACGGGCTTCACCTGGCCAAAAGACCAGCCACCTTAGCCTTCTCACCACTCGGCCTCAACGCAGCCACCTCCAGCCTGATGGGGGAGAGCAGCGGGAGCGGCAGCAGCGGCCTCCCGTCCCCGCCCAGCAGGAGCTCCTCGTCCGGGGAAGGCACCTGCGCCGTCTGTGGAGATAATGCCGCCTGCCAGCACTACGGCGTGCGGACGTGCGAGGGCTGCAAGGGCTTTTTCAAGGTGAGAGCTCCGCGCTGTGCTCCCCTCCCTGCTTGCTCCCACCCCCTCTGTCCCCACACGCTCCTGGTCCTGACCCGGGCCTTCGGGGACATCGTGTGTTAAAGCCCCAGCAGGGTGGAAGGGGCACCCAAAGGTTTTGAAGAAGGTCAAGGAAAGCCCTCTGTAGGATAAAAGGAACAGCCAGTCTCTGCTGAGAAGAGGCCATGGTTGTGTTCTGGGGGAACCACATCCAGCATTCCTCAATGAAACACAGGTCATCCCAGTTTAAGCTATAAACTGCATTTATTCTGTATTGAAACTCATCTGGAGTCCATTCAGCCCGGGTTTTACTCAGTCACCAATTCCAATTATACTTTATTGTTAGATGAGAACAGAAACCCTGAAATCGTAAAGTCCACTTAATATTTCAGGTGGTGGCAGCGGTGCCGTTTTTTGTCCGGGGTAGTTGGCGTGAGGAGGAATGCGGGGTGATCAGCACCAGGAAGAAACTGGTTTCACTCATGGGACAAACCCAAGTACTTTTAGTTGCTTTTGGTTGCTGCCTTGTCCTTATCCTTCAGCTCGGGAGCCCGGGGAGTCCTCACCAGGGGAAAGCTGCCTGCAGAGCAGTGACTAAGCACTGCACAGGGTCCTGCTGCCTGCCCTGCCACGAGGGCAGCTTTGCAGCTGAATAGCAACACGAATAACTTACACACGGCAATTTCTCAGTAGAAATTTTGTGCTTATATTTTCAAGAGCTGAATATGTCTTTTGATCTTAGTTTTGGGTGCTTTGTAATTTCAGCAGACTGAGTCCAGATTCTAGTATTAATTTCAGAAATAGCTTGTTTAAGTGAAGAGCTTGTGATTGACTTTGGGTAGGATGGTTCTGGGCAGCAAGTTTAAGATTTGAAACGTTTGGGGTTGATTTTGTATATTTTTTTCTTGCTAAGATAGCAGTTATGCCAGTGTTCTGGTAAAATATACAGTGGGAACAAAAACGGTCCCAAAATATTTGGGGGGAGGGCTTACAACATTTTATTGTGGGTGGAGCTGTCAGTGTAACTTAATAATAATCCTTTGACCACATGGTAACATATACCTCTCCTATAAAACTAATTTGTTATTTAAATACAACTAGAAAAGGGAACACAAATAGCACGGAAATAGCAGCTCTTGTTATCCCAAACCTACCCCTGTGGAAATCAATAGCATATCCTTGAGTTGTAGCAGTACCTTGTTCTGCAAAATCAAACTGTTTTCAGCTCCAAATCACAATGAACAATATTTGCTGTATCTCTTATATTTAGTACATTGAGGCTGTTATTTGATAACAAACACAAATTATGGAATAAAAATTATCCATTAATTTAATTTCAGGTAAATATTTAATATTGAATGTTGAGTTGATAAATTTGTTCCTGGTGTCTTTTCTAGTAATACCTTTTTGCATGTTATTTATTGATGTATCTTTGATTTTAAGTATGGCAGCATGATACCTTTTTGCATTAATATTTGTTACATTCTTCCAAAACTTACCAGGTTTCTACAAATTTTAATTTTGTTTTATTTTTTTCAACATGACTTTAGAGTTAATTAAATTTACATAACTGTGTCATCATTCTGTCTTTTTTCCTCAGGTCAGGTTAACTTTCCCAGAGTATTTAGCCAAACATATTTTGTAGGGGTTTATGGTATTTTTATTTTTCTCCCTGATGATTTTAATGGCTAACCAAACCAGTTATTGTGGTATTTGACTAACAATAGTGATAGCAAGAGAAGTACATTGCAGATCATTTTGATTTTATTTTAATAAGGTCAGCAATAATCAAGGGAATGAACCAAGTAGAAAATTGTTCCCAAAGGGATATTAAAAGCGGAGATAATCTAATCCCCAAAGGTAGATGTGATGACCTGGTAATTTCAGATATGATTTTATCATTCAAAGTTGCCTGTCTCCAGAGACTTGCTTCAGAACAATCCTAGATGATTTTCATTGTCAGCAGCTAGCACTAATAAAATTGTTTTTCCTGCAGGCTAGTGTGTTAGGAAATTAATTTTATCTAATTATATGAATTGCACTGTCACTTTTCATGTTGTAATTAAAACACATTTTGTCAGGTTCTAAGTTGCTCAAGAAACGATCAGTTTACTATTTTTGTGTTGCATTTTCACAGAGAACAGTTCAGAAAAATGCAAAATATGTTTGTCTGGCAAATAAAAACTGCCCAGTGGACAAGAGACGTCGTAACAGATGCCAATACTGCCGGTTCCAGAAGTGTCTCAGTGTCGGCATGGTTAAAGAAGGTAAGGACTCTGGCTATTTATGATCCCAGAAAACTAAAATAATATGTTTAATGAATCTGTCTCTGCATGTGTGTGCGTGTCAACATGGATGTCTCTACAATAAATTTGACAATGATGAGATTCATAACTTACTCCAAAAAATGTGCATTTATGTAATAATATATTGATTTTGTGCTTTTCACTCCTATTATCATATTTAGACTATAGACCCCAGAGTTCAAGAACAGCAAGGTCACAAGAGGATAATTTGACAGTGGCCAAAATGTCTCCTTTATTAACTTTGAACATTGCTCGATAATGCTGTTGGCTTCCCCTTGTTATCTCACTGGGGGCTGCACTGGATTGTGTGCATTTTGACATAGGATCTTGTTCCATTCCCATAAGCTGATTGTAAATTTGCAATTAATTTAAATGGAAACAGGATCAACTCATTAGTCCCAATTCTGCAAATATTTAAGCATGTGAGTAATATTGTGTGAGCACTCCCATTGCAAATACTGACATGGATAATATAACCTATATAGTGCGGCCGTATTTTTTCAAATGCTTCAAGAAAGCTAAAATTACTTTTGAATGAATACCTCTGCCATTTAAAAGGGACGCTAGTAGCAGAAACACTAAAATCTGTGTTTTAAAGAATTCAGCTTTTTTTCGGCAGTGGAGTATCACGGGCACACTGACATGCTGCAAACAAAGCATGGACACAAGGAACACAGCTGGGCTCTCACTAAGCAGCTACATTGCTGCTTACAATCATAGATCTGACACAGTTCTGGTGCCATTTGTGTTCCTTTGCAATCAAAAGCATCAAGAGCATGTGCTGAAACTGGAGACAGCTCTTATTTTTGCTGGTCTGGCCACTGTCAGGAAAGCAAGCAGAGTGTTCATTCTGATCCATCATTTGCTGGTACCTTCACAACTGATTCCCTTGGGATTTTTTTCACCTAGTTGTCCGTACCGACAGCCTGAAAGGGAGAAGAGGTCGGCTGCCTTCCAAACCAAAGAGCCCCTTACAGCAAGAACCCTCTCAGCCCTCCCCGCCCTCTCCTCCCATCAGCATGATGAATGCCCTCGTTCGAGCTTTAACCGACTCCACGCCCAGGGAGCTGGACTATTCAAGAGTATGTCTCACTTTTCTTTCCCTCTTTGCTTTCCGCACTGAAATGATTTGCGAGCTGCATTTCTCCTTACCAGCTGGTTTGCCAAAATGAAATTGAGTGTGAAATTTGGATGAGGGTAGAAATCGGTCCAGCCAGCCGTTGTCTTTTTGCGATAGGTGGACAATGAGAGGAAAAGAAGTGCAGTAGATATTAGTGTTAGTAACTATTCATTGTGAGGATCCCAATCTCAAAATAATCTAATATTCTGCAGTATATTCAGTGGCTGAGTGAATGCAAAAATGCATGGAGAAATAGAGCATTCTTCTTGCAAAAAGGCTGTGCCAAAACACGATCAATTATGATGTCATTAATTAACCAGGAGCAGTACTTGTATGTCTAATATCTTAACTTCCATTTTCTGAAGGCTAAAATTTAATAGCACTTCCCTAATATTCAGATAGAAGGGTTGCAGAGTGTGACACTGGATGGATAAGACCATTCTTGTTGAAATCAATAGGGATTTTGCCATTATTTAAATGAGAACAGGGTTGGCTTTGGATACCCCAGCATAAATATTCCTTCAGTAAAACTCACATTTTTAAAACAAGATTGTTGAAATTAAAATTCTGAAAAATCAGCAAAGCTTTACCAAAGATTATGTATTTTTCTAACCTTGTTCTTTAATGTATCATAGTCACAATTTAAATGTTCATGGAATATTCTGAAAGTTGAAAAAAATGTTCTATAGTTATTAAAATACAGCATTGAAATGGCTTGTTAAATACAATTTTTAGGCAGGTTGATATAAGATAAGAAAAAAAAAAACTACGGCTATGGAAAAACAAGGTCAAATTCTCCTCCCTTAAAGAAATATTATTAAATTTGAGATTGTAAAAAATAGCAGCTGTACTCAAAACAGTAACTCCATTGGCCATTTATCACTTGTTGCTAAGTAATATTTAATCCTAAAGCATATTTACTCAATTATATAAAAATTACATTATGCTATTTTAGACTTTACTTATATATATAATTTAGCAATTTAAAGCATGCTGTAACATATTTCCTCCAAACTAATCTGTAAGTATTAAATCATATAATTTTTCAAGCTATTAGCAAGAATCTAGCTGTTCAGTGTCTGACAACCTACTATGGGGAGAATGCATTAGCCATGTCTACAAGTACTTTAACTTACCCAGAATGTTTCAGGGATCACTCTGCAAATACCAAGGTGTGTGATGGGCTGTGCTCTTTGATAGAAATCTGCTGGGTTCCACAGAATTACAGGAGTCCAGAGGCCATAGTTTGTATTTATTTATGGATATAAAGTTATTTTATATTTACAGAAAATTGAACAAAAATTATGTACTTTTTATGTGACTTTTTTCTTTGTCGTACAGATATTATTTCTCTTTTAACGAAAACAACCCACAAATTTAATTGCTGAACAATTCTGTTGGACATTACAGGGAGCATATGATTGACAGTAAATTAATTTAGTCTTGGTAGCTAAAAGATTAAGTATGATTATCTGTTAGAACATATTAATATCTATGTTTTTCTTTACAGTAAAATATATAATAGTCTGATATGCCCAGCAGTACTGAAATGACAAAAATATTCTACAAGAAATTAGTAGATTCTTATGTTTTTCATAGACCCTTATTTTGAAAAGTTAGAGGAGGTCAGAAACAAATGCTGTGTAAAGAGCAAGATTAACTGAATTTAATTAATTTAATGAAACATGCCATAAACACACTGCAATGCTATAATATCCCTATGAATATTTTACCTGTAAAAACTAACGTCATGTTCAGCTAGGCTGTGATCCTGCTGAGCACCACAAATGGGCAGATCTGGAAACCTGGCTTTGGAGTTAGCCCTGACACTTCTGCAGATACGACCTTAATGTTTAGCATGGTCTTCATGTTTACAAGCTGTAATATCTTGACTGTCTTAAAAATACTGATAGACGTTTCAGAGAGAAGTGTGTATCCCTTCCATCCAGAAAACCCTGTGAACACACACACACAAGCAACCCAGGGAAAAAAACAAAACCAAAAATAAATTACATAAGCTACAAACTTTACACCAAAACATTGGAAACAGTTCTGTTCAGAACATGGCTGCTTTTCATCTCAGCACTGGTTTTAACTTACCAGTCCACAGCAGTGGTATATTTAGGTACTTGGTTTCAAAAGGCAATTGCCAAGGGCCGTAGTCTGGTCTCACACCTGTTTACTGGTACAATTCCCTGAGTTTACACTTTTAAGGGAGTGAGATGAGAAATAGACCCCATATCTTGCCATTCTTATTCATGCAGAGCAGGCACCAACGTAGATTGAAAAGTTGCCTTTTCAGAGGAGGAGTGCAATATTTAGGCAATAATCCCCCCCTTCCTGGGCCACAAAATTAAGCACATATCATGGCTTTTGGAAAAATGAGCGTAGGCTCTCGTCTGTGCAGAGAAGTTATTGTTAGGCTTTTGCAGCTGTAGCCGTCGATGAAGGACTGATGAAAGCAGGCAAAGGGCAGAGCTAAGTTGTGCTATCGGGCTTCCCAACCTCAGGCTTTCCAAATCTCTTCAGATATAAGATACAAGTTAATGTTGCTTGCTGCACATGCAACCCCCTCCTTAAGTAACAGTCACATTTCATTTAATTCCCAAAGGAGCTCCAAGAAAGGGAGGGGGGTAGAGCTTTGTCTTTTGTCTTTCTCCTGGTTTGCCTCCTGGTTTGTGTAGGGCAGGTTTAGAAATGCAGATCAGAGGGAGCCCTTCCATCCTGTGGCCTCCTGACCAAGGGCAGGATTGCCAGCTGTCTTGGTCTCAAGTTAGGTCAAATATAACTTCTTCTCCATTAAATAATAATGGAAAAAACCCACAATTGTGGTGCATGAAACAGAAACATATATATTGTTTATGGTTACTTGTGTCTTCCTAAGTCTGTTACAAGTAAATAATATTTTACTTTAACAACTCTTTGTAAATGCTAATACTTTATAGCGAGCAGTGATGTATTGCACCAGCTAAAAATTACACAATTCCATATAATCTTTTACCTTTCTTCTAAAATTGCTCCTGTGGGATAGACTATAATACAAAATACAGGTTATAATTTTTTAGATGCATTTAATTTGATTTAGTGCCCAGCGTAGGGTAAACCACACTGTAGCATTCACAGTTACACAACATAATGCAGCATTCAGCTTCATTAGAAAATGTTAAAACTTGACCTTACTTTTGCCAAAGGAATGTTTTATAAATATTGGGAACAAATTAACACCTGGCGTAATTACTCTGAGTTGTGATGAGTTGTATTTAGAATGAACCCATCCAGAATGGGTAGTATCTCTTTTTTCCTTTTCCTTTTCTTTTTCTTCTTTATGGCTCAAAGGATCAAGAATATGTCTTGGCTTAGCAATAACTGTCGTGAGGCAGGAGTTTCCATCAGCCTGTTTAGTTTCCCTGTGTAGTAAGAAAGAGTCATAGGTCAGTCCCTGTGTAGCAAAGCACGTCTCCCAGAGCCAAAATGCCCACTTGTTGTGGCTTGTTCTGCAGCTTCACTTCTAGAGGGTCCAGAATATGCATGGTCTCTGAAAAGCAAATTGTCTTTTTCTACCCATGAATGACCTGTCTGTATCTTGCTGTAGTCCAGTGCCAGGACTAGTTGATTCGTGCTGCTTGAGCATCCTCAACTGCTCCATTCACATGGAGGTCTGAACACATAAATGATGAAGCATACAGATTTTTCTACTGCTGCTCCCCTTCTCTGTATTGTGGCTTCTACCTGCCTCAGTGTAACAGGATCCTTTGGAGCAGCTGAGGCAAAATTTGTCTCCATATGAACTTTATAAGAAGGACTGCACATGTTTTACCAGCTGATTAAACATGTGAGCTGGAACTTAGCGTGAGAACCTCGTGCAGTTAGGTTGGGTAAGCAGAACAGAACCACCAAGCGCTAGTACCAGGACCCAGATACAGACAGAGGTCTCTAGGGTTGCTGTGGTTCTCCCATCGTCAGCAGCTCTGACATTGTGTCCTTCATTCGTTACCTGCCAACATCAACCAGCTCCAGCTAGGAGAGGCAGAGTACAGGACAGCTACCTGAGAGGTTCTGCTTACTGCCCCATCTCTCTCTGTCCTGCACAGAAGTGATTTCTGGATTGCAGTTAGCAACTTGGGTGATATCTGCAGCCCAAGGTTGTAATATGGTCCTCCCAGGCTGCCAGACCACTGTTGCTGATGGGGAAAGAATTTTTTCTGCTTCCATTCTGGCTTGGAGAGTTGCTAGAGTGACATTCAGGCTGATGGACTCAAGCCTAAGTGCACGTGGACAGTTGTTTCCAAAGGGTATGCAGGCTTCTTTTAGCTGTGGAGACTACCTCAGCCTTTCTTTGGCTGAACCCTTAAGAGAGAGTGGCTATGAAGTCTCTCCCAGAAATAACCCAGCAGGTGTCTGATGATAAGTATGTTACTACAATAAATGCCACATTATTTAGTATCTGCTCAGAAAACCAGCAGCACTTTCCAAGCACAGAATTGGACTAAGCCACAAAAGCTCCTGTTGTATTTTCTGCTGAGAGAGAGAGAGCAGTGTCAAAGGAGTGACAGGGATCCACTGGTGATGAAGTAGGAGATAGTGGGGAGGGAGCTGTCAGAGGGTCACAGGGAAGCTGAGCAAGCTGAGACTGTCAAATGGTTGCCTGGAAGAGTTATGGCCACATAAGCAGGATAATAGGTTCTGCTGAACCTCAAATGCTTCAATTTGAAGGATAAGAGGTGATATGGGGCAGCTGCTTTACTTTGAACCAATTCTGTATTCAAATGAAGCAATGCTGCATGTGTCAGATAAAACGTGATTTATCTTATGTGTCTCTATCACTGTCAGATAAAATGCACTTTGTGAGGTTTTGGAAGAAATCTGCATTTCCGACATACTGAGACAAATTCATCAATGGGAAAAGTGTTTCATTGTAGTAAGCCACATAATGTTCCTCTTCTAGTGTGATGCAAATTATCCTAGCCACCAGGTTTCTATTTCTGTTTAATAATAGTATGTAGGTACTTGTAAAATGTGATATTATATTTTAGTTATAAATTTGAAATTACTTCTATACATATGGAAATATTTTTGTAATATCTATCTGAATAGCAAAATGCCTGTAGGTAACCAAATAAGTAGGTAGATGTAGACCTATTTTTTTATGTCTTTATAAGTAATACCAGCTTTGCCACAGAAGGAAATGTTGTTGGGCAAATAATGCTGTATGTTTCACAGAATGCCCATAAATGCATATAACCTTGCTTTCTGTGGCTTTCATTTTAGTACTGTTCCACTGATCAGGCTGCTGCAGGCACAGATGCAGAACATGTACAACAGTTCTATAATCTTCTGACTGCCTCCATTGACATAACTAGAGGCTGGGCAGAAAAAATCCCAGGATTTACTGACCTCCCAAAAGAAGATCAGACATTACTCATAGAATCAGCTTTTTTGGAGCTGTTTGTACTAAGACTCTCCATCAGGTAACTATTTATTTCATTTCCTCTTAAGTTGATGTGAAAAATCATCCACCTGAATATTTTTAAGGAATAAATATGGCACTATCTTTGAACATTGTCATTTGTACCAAAAAAAAAAAGCACAAAAACCAGCAATGTCTGCATACTAAGGATATGGTGTTTAACTTGTTTCACACAGCAGGAAAAATCAAGAAGGTGATTTAAAAAGAAATCATAGATGTCACTAATGTGCTTCTATTATTTGATCTGTCCCATCTTCTTCCTACATAGTTACCAAAATTGATCCTCAGGTACTATTTGAGCAAGTCTGCTTTGTACTCATAAGTATGAAATACAGTAACACACTTCAAGTATGAAAGTTTTTTCTTTTCTCTTTGTCATCTGTTTTTGAAAGGGATGAAGAAGATTTAAAATCTTGTTCAGATTGCTTTTCTTCTTAATACCAAGTCATTTAATAGAGTGAGATGCTGTTTGTCAGTCTAGCACTAGTTAGACACTTTACCAAATCCACTTTCAGGAGCAGGCAGAATTGCAGACTGGTGATTTCAGTTATGCCCTTGTTTATTTAGGTTGAAAATGACCTTTGCATGTGTTTTTTTTTTTATTAAATATCGGTAATGGAGAGGGAAGAAGAGGAGAGCTTGGCTGTAATTTCTCTCTTGCACACAGGTTTTCATTTAAGAGTTTATGCAGTTATGTGTATTGTCCTGCATTACTGTGTGTGTTCTCCATTGTTTTTTTCCTTGCCAATTTTTACAATCTGAAAAATGCAGATGATACTAAGTAAATGCTGAGAGTTGCAGAATCTATGTTTTTATTAGTTTTGTATGTCAAAATGCACTCACTTAGTATTCCTTTGGTTCAAACATACAGTATTTAATGCAAAATGTCTTCTCTGTTTATGCCTTTGGGCAGGACCAAAATCTTAACTAATTAGACAGTCTACACCACATGCTACAGCTAACCTCAGGCTTATAACTCTACCAAGTAAGCAATCACAGAAGCTTGTTTGTTGTACTTTGGCCCCAAGGGAGAAACATATTGTCAAACGTGAATGCCCACATATGTCTCAGGATAATATGCCTTGGATTTTAAATGACAGACGCTTCAATACTGGTTATGCACTTCTCTGTAAAGTAGAAGATGCATTTATAATTTTTTCAATTGTTTTTATTTGAGGTCTGATACTGCTGAGGATAAGTTTGTATTCTGCAATGGACTCGTGCTTCATAGACTTCAGTGCCTTCGTGGATTTGGGGAGTGGCTCGACTCTATTAAAGACTTTTCCTTAAACTTAAAGAGCCTTAACCTTGATATCCCAGCCTTAGCAAGTCTATCAGCTCTAACTATGATTACAGGTGAGTGCTCCTTTGTTGACAGAAAGCTTTAGACTCTAGTGCTTTGCTTTATTGTAGATTCAAGCAATTTCAGTTAATTCAGCTATATTCAGGGTGAAGTGATTTTTAAGCATTAGCATGACCATATTGAAATTGTGGAATAACATTAGGCTATCAGACACCTCTCTTAGAATGTAATCTAACTATTTCTTTGCAGCTTCATTGTTTTCTTGGAGTAGTCTCTAAAAAGCAAACTGCTTCCAAGCAAATTGTGTAGCTCCTACAAAAATACTCAAGATACTTGCTGAAGTCCCAGGAAATCTTAATGAAATTGCCAGAGCTAGGTCTTCTGTGTACGAATAGTAATATCAAGGCAGCTTGAGACTTAGAAGCCATAGAGCTAGCATAGCTCATCTCTCTGCAAGGTAGCTAGACCAGAAAGTGTGCTCCATGAGGGCAGGAAGGCTGCTTTTGGTAGCCAGGCTAGCCTAGGTATTCAATGCTTTTCTGAAAGAGGAAAATCAGAGAATAATGAGAAAAAAGTCACATTCCTCAGTTGTACAAAAGCTTTTGGGTGTGCATGTGACTGTATGACCCTTTCTGCCTGCTGGGGTGAACAGCAGGAAACTAATGTCAGAATTTGCCAAATCTATCCAGTAAGTACAAAATAGGGGAACATAACCTTTTAAAGTGTAATTTTTGCATTCCTGAAGCAATAAAGCCACTACATACTTTGGGCATCTTGCAATAGAAGCGTCATGGCTGATGGCAGCAGAAGGAGAGTTGGGAGGAAGGCTGTCTGACAGCCACAGAGCAGAATTTGGAGCAGAAGTCATCTCCACAAAGAACCTCACCCTCATATCAGAAAAACTGGTAGTTTAACAGTGTAATTGTGTCTTCAGTGTGCCCTGAACTGAATCTTCCCAGGGATGCTTATAAGCTCCCTTGACATCCTTCTGCTTTTCAGGCATCCATTACTTTATAGGCAGTGGCCTCAACAACACCAGCTATAGTCTTTATTTTAGTCATCATCTCAGGATGAGATGGTGTCAGGGCAACCCTGAGATAAAACACTCCATGACAGATGTGAAAAATAAATTTGGCCGATTCCCACTGACATTTGTGGGGCCAAGATTTTGGTTTCAGAGTTTGCATGGTACGCTGCCTTCCTGGTGAAGAGTTAGTGTATATATGTAGCTCTTTGTTTCTGAAGCATTTTCAGTTATTTTATTAATTTCTGTTAATTTCCTCTGCAGTTGGAAAGGGTACTTTAAGATCTAGATTCTGGGTTCCTTTGATAAAACATTTAAGACCAGAATAACTCACTGGGGCTGCTTTACTCTGTATGAAAAAATTCCCAAAATAAGTGATATGTTAAAGACAGAAAGAACAGTCCCAATTTTTTTTTCTCCTGCGTATGTACATCCACTGGCATATGTTCACTCTTACTTGCATATATGTACTATAAACACCTACATATATGTGTACACATATGTGTATGTATATGCATACTTCTATACATAAATAATGTATTTATGTATATATATGCATTTAGATAGCTCTAAATCAATGATAGGTGCTGCCCCTCTCTATATATATTTGCATGCAGGCATATATGCTCATATATATATAGCACATATGAATGATTTCGATTATTTACTATATATGAGATATGTCTTTTTTAGGTAGCCATAGGTAGTGTGTTCTTGATTATCCTCCTGGAGACCGAGAGTGGGAAGGTTGATGAACAGGATTCCCAGCAAGCTAAGTGAATTTAGTAAAAACAAATGTATAGGAGGAAATCTGACTCCCCTTACAAGCCCATGTTCTGTTTTAACATGGTAATTTGTTCAGTTAAGCACTGCTTCCTTGCCCTTACATAAGGAGTCAAAGTTATCCAGTGGCTGGCTAAGGATAATTAGAAATAGGTTTTAATTGGACACACCTTTCTTCCTTTCCTTGATCACAACACTTCCAGGAGTTTGCTATATTGTGCTGGTCTTCCCAAAGTTTCTAAACAAATGGAAGCAATTGTTGCCTTTAAAAGGAGACAATTTCCGTACATAAAAACTTTAAGATTTTCTATGTTTGTCAAGCTTCTCTTGATTTTCTTTCCTGTGTGAGATGATATTTAAAATTAATGTTGTTTTCTGCTTATTCTTTTATTTTGTGAGGCTGGTATGTCTCTGCTGATTTGGTTTAAGGACAGCATGTATTTTCATGTGATCTAAATTAGACCAAAGCTCTAGTGACTTATATTCACAGGTTTCAGATGTCCAAGGGCAGTTAGCTAACTCAGGGACTCAGCCAGAGACTTGGTCACCTGAAAACAGATAGCATTGTATAATGATGAACAATATTAAAAATAAAACATGTAAGAGAAAATCAGGTGATTATACCTAGTGTATTGAAAGTTTTACTCAGGAAAACCTTGAGATTTGGCTCTGATGTGGTATCCCACAAGAAATGGCTTCTTTTCTCCTCTCTGAAGTTTGAGTATGACAAGCCATGTGTCTTTTCAGCTAGTCACACCAAGAGAAAAAATAGCCAAGAGAAAATTTGGAAAGATGGAACCCGAAGAAGTCTGAATCGTTGAACATTTTTAAACATTGTTTTGAGGCTTGGCTTAGATTTAGATGGGTGGTTTAGGTGCCATTCTTTGTCTCCAGGGAAGGCACCCTTTTCTCCTGTAATGGATTGCTGGAAGCAATGGGTAGTTGGCAAACTCTTCAAGCCCTTTCTTTGAGTCGGAGCAAGGAAGAGCAACCTTTCCCAAGAGCATAGGATATCCAACTATTGAGTACCACTGTCTTTTGTGTTAAGACAACTTGATATATTTCACAGGCCACAGAATGGCTGTTGTGTCTGATGGTGGTCAGAGGGACACCCAAGGCCCTATCTCTGGTCTGATTCCAACTGGAAGGGAATCTGACCATGGTTCTCCCGTGTTCTAGGTGGATATCCATGTCATTAGGCTTCAAATAAGAAGTGGGAAAGCTTTCTTTTGTGAATCTATTTGTTTGCCTTTAGTAACAACACTGCAAAACCAGAATGCTGCCTTGAGCAAAATTTTCTTGATTATCATGCAAATTGTTTATGATTTGATGGCTAAACAAAAAAAAAGGAAAAGACAACAGTCCTGTGATCTGTAGTAGTCACAGCCTGCTTTAATACTGTACAGCATCTTAGGTGCTGTACAGTATTAGCATCGAATTCAAGAATTGTCATTCCAGATAAAGAAAAATTTTTTTGTGGGAATAACGACCTGTTCATTCTTCTTGATTTCACGAATGCTGTCCTTAGCCCAAAGATACGTCCTTAGAAACAAAACCCTCTTGTATACTGCTAATCTTTGGCAGTTTTGCTGAGGGAGAAGAATAAGAGGAGTCACTACTCTCTTTCCTGTATTTTGTGCTCTTCAAGAGTGACAGGGAGAACTAACATCTGTCTCCCAGTGAAGGAAGAGGGAATAAATCTAAAATTCAGTGTTGGAATCTAAAAGACATTCCACTGGTCCCAGTGTCCTAAGATATACTGAAGGCTGTTCCTTCACTTTGAGATGTCAAATTGTCTCCCCAGTAACAGCTCCAGGAGTTCCAGTGACCTTCAATTAAACTTCCTGACTTGTTTGGAGCCGCAAAGCTCCATGTCCTATCCCAACCACAGTGCAGGTGATAGCATAGGATGCATAGTTATAGGCATGTAGGGGCATTTGTTCTTTTCAATGTAGTTCACTACATTGCTTGCTTTGAGTAAAACTAAAGGTATATACAATATTTTACATTATATATTCCATTAGAAAGTCAATATATTTTTGCTTTTTCTATCTATTTTATGGGTCCTGGAAGTCTGTGGTATGTTGCCTAGAAGGAAAAACATTATTTCAGATTGCTGATGAATTTTCAGGTCCTCTCAGATAAAACATCCACTTAAAAGAGCACCCAGGTTGAAAGAAGTGGCTTCTAGTTTACTATGGAGGTTTGCAAACAGTTAACTTTGAACTCTGTTGTGCCAAAAACCATTTTTTACTGTAAGGTGCTCCTTTAGGATCTTCCTCTCTCTGTCTCTCTTCTCTTTTTTTACTTCCTTTAGTTGGTTTAGAAAGGCTGGACACAACTTCCTCCACAGCGTATGAGTGTTGCTCTAAGCATCACCCAGAAGAAAGTAGGTAGGAAATAATGCATGACGCTCACCTCACATGCCTAAGAAAATAAAAAAAGTTAGGTCCGTCGTGTTCTTCTCCTTTAGACCACTTATTCTGTTGATATGTAGCATCTAATGAGCTGAAGAAGAGCCCCAACATGGAAAGGAAATGCTGGTCATCTTGGGTCAAGTTCTGTTGTTAATTCCACATGGATGATTTCTATGACTTTAGTGTGTTCATGGATCACAAGTGTTCCTGCACAGTCACTCCATGATGGACTGGGTAGTGTTAAAGATGAAGCTTTGCAGAGTAGACTAGATACTAACTCAGCCTATGCTTGAAAATGCTTCCTAAACTTCCCAAATGACCATTTGTTAGGTTTTTTTTTACAGTGTGAAAACAGAAAGACTGAGTCCAGTGCAGATCATCTCAAGGGCACATTCTAATTTGGCCTCAAATTTCTGCTTGCTCTGAAAACTGCTAGTGTTTTCTCTCTCTCTTATTCTCGTTGATTAGGTTTTCCTCTCTGCCCCTTCCTTTCTCTATCCACATCAAACCATTATTATTTTGCCCACTTGACACTCTCAGTGGGATGCTGCTGAGTACAGAGCATGCTAGCCCTCATTCAGCCAAGCTCTTTCAGCATATGTTTTATTTTAAGTGTGTTACAGACCAGCCCAGAACCACTGTATATATTGGGCTTATTCACACTCCTAATGCTTTGTTAGACTGGCACCAGACCACTGAAGAACGTTGTGAGGTTTCAATTAATTAGGAGTTTATGTTTGTCTTCCTGCTGTTGGGCTTTCTGTTCCAGTTTACAAACACAATTTTTAGCACCATCAGTCATACCAAGAAACAGTAATGAGACCAGTCTGGCTAAAAAGAGTATGACTGCTGCAGTTCCTTCTGCACATGAGTTTGTCCAACCTCCCAATGGAATTGAAACTTACCTACTCTTCAGAAGCAGCTATCCTTCAGTCCTCTTGCCAGGATATCCTTTGGAGTGGGTGCTTCATGTGCTGGGTCTACATACAAGCAGGTGGCAGACTGGAGGAGTGTAGGAGAGCTAGTTATAAAAAAACCCCCTCCAGATTGCATTGTCTGTCTTCCCCCCCGCCACTTAGCTGAGGGAAATACTGTCAGCATCAAAATGAAGTACTCACTCCTCCTTTTTCACTCCCACCTCTTTGTTGAGGCAAGAACTCTTTGCTTCTACAGCAACCAACAGTCTGTGTTATATTGTGGTTTTCTTAAAAGAGGGAGCAAACTATGCTGTTCTGTGTGGCCACTCATCTCACCTGACTTTAGGTACCTTGCACAGCTGATGGAGAATACAGGGCACCTCCAGAAGATGATTTATCCATCTAAAATTGTAAAAATCTTCTAAAAATGCCCATCCTTACACTGATGTTAGGAGGAGTTTGAGAGGTCTGTGCACTAAGCTTGGGGACCCTTGTGAAGTGTCTGAGAGTTAGGCAGGATAAATATGGGCCAGACTGCAACAGGAAACGAGACTCTTGGATCTGCCAAATTGCAATGTTCCTGTGTAACATTTTGTGCATGAGAAAGCTGTAGGCAACTGAGCCTTGTGCTTATTTGAGTTATGGAAGGGGAAGAGGAATGTGAAGGGGGAAGAGAAAATCACATAACTACACTGAAACTAAGACAATCAAGAGGTTATTTTAAGTCTGCAGTGTTCATCCGTTGCATTTCTGGACACCTCAGAAATAATTGAGACTGAAAGTGATACCCCGTGACACAGAGTGCAGAGCCCAGGGTATTTGAGGTACTGGTGCTCTCTGAGGGGCATTTTCTGTAAGGGTAGTGCTCAGTCTGTCTGACCCTGGCATGATCTACCTCAGGTCAAAGGTTTGGGAAGGAGGGACTGGCACAGCTAGTGATGGATTTCTTTGCTTTCTTCCTGTCGAGTTTTTGCTGATGAGTGTAATGATAGCAGAAAACTACATTCAGCTTCCCAGGAAGAGGAAAAGGTGTAAAAAACTTGCTGTGTTCAGTTTACCAGGATGAGCTAAGTTTGCAGAGCTTTAGAGGCAAGACTTCTGATGAGTCATTTTGACAGCATCTTTGCTATAAATCACCATTTTTCTCACAAAAATCAGTGATATCCTAAAACACAGTCTTGGTTTGTGTTTTAGGTTGTACAGGCTGAGAAATCCTAAATTCACTTTACACATGCCTTTGTCATTATAAGAAAGTCTGACTACGATAATATCTGCACATCTCGTCAATCAGTTAGAGAAAGTCTATTTTGACCAGCTATACTTCTTGGGATAAACCTTGGCCTTATTCCTATGCGGATAAGAACATCCTGTGGAAGACAGTGAATGATTAGAGGCCCTTGGCTTCAGTGCCACTGCACACCCTTACCCCAGGGGCCTCGTGCTGCTCCCTCTGGGTTGTATAAGAAACACAGTGGGTCTTTCTTTGTGCAAACATAACTGGGCATGTGAAAAAGGCAAGAAAATATGTTTTTTGTTATTTGAACCCTGTTAAATCTAAACCTTTGAGTAAATTAGGCTCTGGATGCCTCAAGTCTACCGAGGAGAGGAGCCTATTCTTAGATGAGTGTGTTCTTCAGAAAGTAGTTGTGTTCTTACACGAGAGACTGCAGTGGCAGTGCTGGTGCATGTGGTGTCCTGCCCTAACAGAAAAGCTTCCACATAGATGGCTTTGACTTTCTATGGATGCCTTAGGAATTTAAGACTGAAACCCCCAGAGGCAGTTCAAGGCATGAGGAATTAACTCTTATGGGGATTTGCAAGTAGAGAAGGCCACTATATGGCACTTCGCTCAGGGGAGGACAATTTGGTTTGTCTGGGACTGTTTTAATATTGTAGCACCAGAGTTTAAGGACAGAGTATCTCTTAATTCTGAATTCCCACGATTTTTTTATGTAAAGTAAGGCTACTAATATGATAATCTTTGCACACATGGTGTTTTGCCTCGGTATATTTCATGGCTATTCACAAAAGACATGATTTTTTCATGAAACCTTCTGAACTTGTCAGTGGGAGACAAGCTGTTTAGTTCTGGCTGGAAATGCTAACAAAGTTGCTGCATGCTCCAGAGCCAGAGATAATTTTCCATATTCTGCAGCAAGGTAGTCACCTACTGAGGTAGTGGTTTGAAAATGTGCTCAACTAATTTGTAGTCAGGTTTTGGATCCATTCTACATTCCAGCTCCTACATCTATAAAAATATCTTCATTTACACAGCTAGGAAACAAAACAGATTAAAAGATGGGAACTCTTCAAAGATTGCAAGATTAACTTAATGTCCTGCAGATTCTCTCAGTAGGCTACTGGTAAAAAAAAAAAAAAAAAGCCCTACAGCTTTTCCAACCTGTATAAAATATTTATCTGCCAAGATTTTTAATGGCAGAATCTGCCTAAGTATTTACTCTCAGTGACCTGTATAGTTAAAGCTTACATAATTACACTATACACCATTTACTGGAAAGGCTTTAAATATTCATTGACTTCTCATGTTTTAATGTAAACAAGGCACTTAGAATACCTAGGGTTTTTAATTCCTGCAAGGTGAAAACTGTCTGAAGCAGATGTCACTGGTTGGATAAGAGTTGCTTTGAAACAACAGGGCCGACTAATGGTATTTAAATGATAGAGCACAGGAGCTTCTGGACAGAGATGTCCATGCCTGCATATCTCTGATTCTGATCCCAAACCAGTATTATTCAGGAGCTAACTGCCTAAGTAAATACAGTTGGGGGAAAAAAAAGTGTAAAATGGGTGAATATCAGTGGAAAACCAGACCTTTGCGTTTCTGACTGCCCTCATTGAATCCCGTCTGTTTTATTGGTTTGTAAAGAGTACCTAAGCCAAAACAGGTGGAGTTTATATACACAGGCCTGGGCAAGGCACCACTGTGCCTGGTGCAGGCATTACTTCTGCTTCTGGAAGTAAAGAGAGCTGTACTCTTTTCACTGTTCGTTAGGGGGGACAGACAGAGGACATGTCGATTGCTAGCTCCTCCTGGCATGGAGGGGCAAGACTTGGGGACAATGGGCACAATCTGGCTGCTGGCTGCCAGGGATGGGACAGAGGCTCAGGGAAGGAGATGACTTCAAAAGCATCAAACATAAGAACTGCCACAATTTCTTCTTAACCACTGCTGTCATTGTTTTATGTATCTAATTGATTTAATATAAGCTGCATTTTCTTTGATTACTGTATAGATACAGTACAATAGCACAATGTGCTATTTCACATGTAAATTATTATGACTTTGCTGTGAAGCCATTTCTTACTTACCTGTGTATTTCAAAGTCAGAGGCAAATGAATACATCACAAATTTGAGATTTTTTGAGTTGAATTTTCTTTTGTTCTGTTATCCACTAAGCCTTGAGAGCAAACAACACAGAATTCTTTCCCCTGTAAAAAGCCTACTTTTAATGAATCACAAATCTGATTCATTCTACGTATGCTTAAAGAACTGTGAATGCATTTAACATCATTGTAGTATTTTAAAAAGATATTTGAAGGGGCACAAACCCCAGCTCTCCTTCCTTTTAGGATTGCTGAGGTTTTTGTGATGGATAACATAACAGCTGTTCAGGCATTGCTCCCTCAAAGCAAAATAGTTAACTTCCAGGCTTCTTTTATCTTAGAGCTTTTAAAGATGAATAAACTAAAAAGCAGCAGCTGATCAAAATAACAAAGGGTAGTAAGGTGCCTTTAGTTTCTTTTAAGAGTGTCTGCAAATTCCTGGTGGAATTCTAGGCCGGGCGCTGATGGAGCTAGCTAAGGATATTGATCGCGACTTGAATTCACTGAATAAGTAATGGTTGCCATAGTTATTGAGCATTCACAACTGGTGGGGAAGCACGGAAATCTCCAAAACACCTCCTGTGATAGTTTTGCTGGAAAATCACCCAATTAATTCTGTCTCATATCATGAAAATTATGTCAGATACACAGGATGCTTAGATTCCTTGTACCAGAATTTCAATGATAACTGAGCATCTCTGTCGCCTGTTTTAGTAGATAAAGAGAAAAGGGCACTTGCCCTCTCTTATTTTGTGTGGCAGAAAGGTTAACTGATACCACGTAACCCCGGCCGTTCTGAGAAATCTACACTTCCAGAGCACTTTTTGTTCTGAGTTCCAGAGTATGCACCTGGGTTACACCTAAGAAAACGCGTTCTCTCCGTTTGTGATCAGGATGGTGATGTGTTTTTTTTTTTCCTTTGGCTTTGCAGAACGACATGGATTAAAAGAACCAAAGAAAGTGGAAGAGCTATGCAACAAGATCACAAGCAGTTTGAAAGATCACTTAACTTTCAGTTGCCAAAACAAAGGACAACCGCTCGAGTCTGCAGAGCCGAAGGTACTGGGTGTTCTGGCTGACTTGCGTTCTCTCTGCACACTGGGACTGCAGCGCATCTTTTACCTGAAACTGGAAGATTTGGTGCCAGCCCCTTCCATCATCGACAGGCTGTTTCTGGACACCTTACCCTTCTGAGTCAAACCACCCTCCTGAGAGGCAAACGCCCACCAGAGCAGGCAAACGGATCGTGACTTACAGCTAACATTTCTGCCCTCACTTAACAGAAAAGCCGCTCCGAGTCTAACATGAGGTCTTTTCTGGCGCTTTGTCCTTACAACCTGAGGCCTGAAACTTACTGGCTTACTGGTTTGGGGTTGTGTTCTTTGTTTTCTTTTGTGTGATTTGGGTTTTTTAAATGGCTAATATGGCACTTTTGGACAATGCTATCCCAGCAGCAGTAAAAGGTTAACATGACTGTTTTAAATCTGTTGTTTAACACCTCATGGTCTATGAGGAGTAAAATTGTAGAAGCTGTGTTTGAAAGAACAGCAAATTGTTGTTTGCCAGGGTAGTATGTGTTTTGTGAGGATACCTTTAGCATACTTCCTGCATCAAGGGCACATACATCAGCACAATCTAAACAAAAATTCACTTTTTTTAGCAAAGTACATTCAATTAAACATTTCATACAAATCAAATATAGCAAAATGACAATGGCTGTTAGCTCCCATGTTCAAGTGCAATTTTTTAAAGTGCTGTCTTACTAAGTCTCGTTTATTAACTAATTTATTTTACTAGGAAAACAAACAGAAGAAATCAAGGGAGAAAATTACATGCACTAACTTACCTGACAGAGTTTTCCAAACTTGATTCCATGTAGCGTGACTTATTGACAAATGTATGTGGAAGACACGGGAGCAATTGTGGCTCAGTTGTTCCTTAGCTAAGGAAACCCGAGTAAGTAGTGATTGGAGCATACAGGGTCAGTATCAGGGATAGTTCAGTTCTAGACTTCTAACACAAGCGACTCGTTAGTAAACAGACAGAAGATGGTTTTCAAGAACAAGCAAGTCTTGTAAAATAGTATGAATGTAAGTGCTAGGAAGGATATAGTGGGCTGCGTTTAAACATTCCGTGTTCGTACTCCTTTTTGTATGTTTATACTGTTGATGCCATATTAATATGAGATAATTTGTTGCATAGTGTCTTTATTTGTATAAATGTTTGTATGCATGGTATATTGTAATGGCTTTGCCTGTATTTATTGCAATGACTGCCAGCTCATGGGAACCCTGTTACACATGATAACTAAATGGGGTGTTCACACTGACTCAGATACACCAGTTGGAAAACTATATACATATATATAATGTGTATGTATATATATGTATATACCTATATTTGTGTGCGTGTGTGTGTGCGCGTGTCTTTTTATTAACCATTTGTATATAAAATATCTGTCAAATCACAAGCAGAGTTATTTTACAGTTTATTTGCAGTGACTTCTAAGGCAGTACTGTTTAGCACTTTGATATTAAAATCTTGCTCATGTTTTGCTAAATTCAAATAATATTTAAAAAGTTCAGTTCTAAAAAACTTTATATGCACTGTATTAAGTCAAAATTTTGTTGGTCATTTTGCTAAAGAAATTTTTGAATGTCAACCTGATGTCACTGTATCTTTTGTTAGCTTTAAACATTCTAGCTTTTGTCTTTTTTTAAACTATGCTGTTTATATGGAAATTAAATTATACAATCAAACAGATGCCAAATGAATTGCCTAATTGCTGCAAAGGATAACCCAGATATCGAGTCACTGTATGGTTTTCAAAAAGTAATCTGGTATTTTATCACTTACTATGTTTGGATGTGCTTTTATGAAAAAATTATTCTTATATCAAGATTTATAGTAGTGTCAATAGGGAAACAGACTTCTAATCACTATAGTTAATATTTCTGGTTTACCTGCAGATAATATTTGGAAAAGTATTGCTTTTTGTATTGACTTTTAAGCTTATGTGCAAACATAATAGCATAATTAAATATCAGAGAAGCTAATGTTTCTTGTAGGTTGCTGTAACAAGCCTGACCAGCAAGACAAATATATTTTGACTGAATTTGCTTTTGTATATACTAAATATATATATATACATATATATATATATACACTCACACACATGTGCGCATACAAAACATACAGACATAAAATCCAAAAAAAAAGAATATTTGCTTTTGTCTCCTTGTGTAAAACACAAGGTCCCTTGAGAAATTGCTTTTATCTAGGGACAAATCCTGCCAGGTGCTGAGCACCAGCCAGACAAGGGCTTGCAGGAGCTTTTTGCAAGCGGGCCTTTATCAAGGATTTTCAAGCAAATCAGCATAGTACAGTAAAATCGCTTTTTTGTTGAGCAAGGTTAATTTATTAAGTGGAATGTGAGGAAGCAGGTTGAGAGCCCCGTGTGAGATTTCACGTAGTCTGTGTCCTCCAGTCTTCCATAGATAGTCTTAGCTGTGATACTCTCCCAAATCCCATCATCTGTGGAATAGTCCTTCATGTCAACTTCAATACACTGATTCATCCTAGAGTACAACCGGTGACCTGTCACAGTGGTAAAAGAAAGAGTTAATGCAGAATAAATCTACTACTATTCTTCGAGCTCTCTCAGTGTGAACATGCCTTTGTCTAGGCAGAATTCAGGAATATATCAGGTGTTAAGGGAGAGTGCCTTGCTTTTATTTCAGACAACAGTGTCTCAAGAGTTTCTTCACTCAGCTAACCACAGTACTTTTTTTCTTTTTTATTTCTTTTCCTTTTTTTTTTTTTTTTGTGGTGTTAACCTGTGGGTTGAAAAAAATGCTCATGTACATATACAATGTAAATTAAAATTATTAAATTGAATAACATTTTTTTCAGAGGCCCCATGTGTGTTGAATAAGTATGCTTAATTCTGTTAAAATCTGATGTGAATTTTTTATCATTTATAAAACATTTAAAAAATTGTCTACTTGAGTCTTAAAAGTGGAAAAATTGGTGAAGCATGCTTAAGAACACTGGCGATTTAATGGCTAGTCTTTTGATTAAAATAGCTTTTATATAAATACATGCCTGCAGTATCTGGTTATGCAATCTCAATTAGATATTGAGAGCTGGACCATGGTTGTTTGTCCCAGAGGTTGAACCACATGTAGACCAGAGCAGAGAGACTATTCACCCCTCGCTGTATTTCTCCTCCATGACAAAAAGGGATTGCAGTTAATGCAGAGCTGATGCGGTCACAGAGAAGGCAGTGGATGGCTGCAGGGCTCACAGCACCTATGTCTGGCCAGAGCCAGGACAGAGCTCCCATCCCATATTCAGCCCCTTTGCGTCAGCAAATCCTGCTGAGCCATCGCTCCAGCAGGCACCTGCATCATTTTCTTCAAATGTGCATCCAGCTCCTTTTCTAACTGTGCTGCTGCTTTGCAGGAGGGATTGTTTATCCCCTGCCAGACAAAACTGTTTGGCTACAAATGCATTTCCAACAAATGCAGTTTTGGGAGGCATCTGCCACTATTCTGGGCATGGCCACGAGCACCGATGGCTCCGGCACACCTCCGCAAGAGCTGTTCTGCAGGAGCTGCTCGGCTGGAGGTTACAGCAAATGATGTGCTGGGCTGGGCTGCAGCACTGACAGCCCCTTCCTTGGAAATGTGACAGAACAAAAGGTTGTGCTAACTCTTCCAGATGATTTTCTATTTGTTTTGTTGGGGGTTTTTTTGCTCTGCCGTATTTTTAAAATTTAAACTACGGGTCTTAAGATTGTTGATGATAATGACAAAGAGTTTTGCATATTATCCCCCTGTTGAGCAAAATACGCAGATCTTGAGATCAAGCCACACGAGGGTCTGAACTTTCACCCTACAAGACAAAGTGTATCCTTACTAAACTTATTTTAGGGCCACGTGTCCTTAGACATGAGAACAGGTCTATCTCCTGATCTAACCTGCACTTGTGTCTTTATGTGTGCCTTGTGTGCTTATACTCCTAAACCACATCAGCAGCAGAAGCCTTGTTAAGGGATGTGATGCCCAGTGGTTAATTTTGTCAGTGGAAGGTTGGGCTGAGTCAGGAATATAATAGCAGGTTCCTCTAGCAGCACCCACCCTTGGACAAGAGACTATCACAAAGGCACCCAAAAATGAGGAACTTTGACTAGAGGTGAGTCAAATCTCTACAGCTTTCTGACTTTACTTTTCACATTCAGGTTCATTTGCCCAATATACAAAGCTAAAATTTCAGTTATGCGGTAGAGAGGAGGGGAGAGAGGGGTTTAACTGTATAAAATTAAGCGTGGTACTGGGAAACATTGGCAACACCCTCTGTGGACACTGAAACATGTCTTTTGATTAATTATTTGTATTATAGCAACACCTAGAGGCCACAACAGAGATCAGGACCCCATTTTGCTACCTACTCTAATTAGCACCTCCAGTACCCACCCAGGAGAAGCTCCAGTCCAAACAGACAAAATCAAAAGAAATAGGAGAATGCCAACCCAAGGGCATACAGCATCTCAGTCATAGAGTTGGGAATAAAACCTTCTGTTTGCTGAGCTAGTGTCCATTGAATGCTCTTATTTTGTTTTCGTTTTCTTTGCATTATGTTGCCACTGTATTTAATTATAAAAACATTATAAAAGCATTGACAAATTCAAAATAACCCAGGTATTCAAACTGACTTTCTTAGCCTGCTTATGAAGTCATCCTTGAGACTATTTAAAATCGTAGTCAATCACGTTTTGTCAACCAAACCAGATAGTATTTAGAAAAGAAATACATATCTGTCCTTTATTAAATTAATGAAGCCAACCATTGGGAATATTGCAAGATATGGATTAAACAATAATTACTAATGGACAAAAAGGATTAACTTTTTAAAATGCCAAACCATTGATGTAGTAATTGAATAAATGCGGTGCCAGTTAATCAAATTCTTAGCAGCAGAGGACATATTTGAGAATTGTATTCCAGACCTGCTTTTGTGAGTATTACCAATGCAGTGATTTGTCAAATAAAAGTAAAAGAAACTTGTTTACCAAATGGAAACACTTATAGCAAATTTTTTTCTGTTTTCTTTTTTAGTATTAGTCACCTTTATGTTTATATTCACAATATGGAAAGTTCTGGCTACATTTGATTACAGAAGGAGTTTGAATACTTGAAATTGTTATATGGCTGTGAAAGTCAAATGAGATAAAGATTCTGAACTAACCCCACAAAACCAAGGATTTTCTTTATAAAGAAGCATAAGATTCCACCTTATGCTGGTTTTTGTCAGGATGGAGTTAATTTTCATCACAGCAGCTGGTATGGGGCTGTGTTTTGGATTTGTGCTGGAAGCAGTGTTGGTAACAAAGGGATGTTTTCGTTACTGCTGAGCAGTGCTTACACAGAGCCAAGGCTCTTTTTGCTCCCCACCCTGCAAGCAATAAAAGCTGGGGGTACATAAGGAGTTGGGAGGTGACACAGCCAAGACAGTTGTCTCCAACTGACCCAAGGGATTTTCCATACCATGCACATCATGCTCAACAATAAAAATTGGGGAAAGAAGAAGGCAGGTGGGGACGTTCAGAGTGGTGGCATTTGTCTTCCCAAATCCCAAGCGTGATAGAGGCCTGCTCTCCTGGGGATGGCTGAACACCTGCGTGCCATGGGAAGGGATGAATTAATTCCTTGTTTTGCTTTGCTTGCATGCACAGCTTTTGCTTTATCTGTTAACCTGTCTTTATCTCAACCCAAGAGTTTTCTCCCTTTTACTCCTCTGATTCTGTCTCCAAGCCCACCAGTGGGGAGTGAGCAAGTGGCTGTGTGGGGCTGAGTTGCCTGCCGGGGTTAAACCATGGCACAGATGTAAATGATGTTCTCTATATGGCAAGATCCTTATGTATGTATAGTGAAACTACTCAAGTAGTACACAGTTCTGAAGTCATGCCAAAGACAAGATCGGGGGAAAAAAAGGCACTTTTTTCACATTGTTCAATATTTTCATAGAATCATTGAAACATTTAGGTTGCAAAAGACCTCTAAGATCAAGTCCAACAGCTAACCTGGTTCTGCCAAGTCCATGAAAAATCCATGTTCCCAAGTGCCACATCTATGTGCCTTGTAAATACCCTAGAGATGGTTTCCATAATTTCTCTGGACAGCCCATTTGAGTGCTTGACTATCCTTCCAGTGAATAAATTTTTCCTATGTCCAGTCTATACCTTCCCAGGCACAACCTGAGGCCATTTCCTCTTGTCCTATCACTTGTTACCTGGGAGAAGAGACCAATCCCCACCTGGTTTCACCCTCCTTTCAGGCAGTTTTATAGAGTGATAAGGTCACCCCTGAGCCTCCTTTTCTCCCCAAACAATCCCAGCTCCCTCAGTCACTGCTTGAAGCACTTCCTACCCGGACCCTTCACCAGCTCCATTGTGCCCCTCTGGACTCACTCTGGCATCTCAATGTCATTCTTGTTCTGAGGAACCCAAAAGTGAACCCAAAAGTGAAGGGATTTGAGGTGCAGCCTCACCAGTGCCAATGGGGGGATGATCCCTCCTCTGCTCCTGCTGGCCTCACTATTGCTGACACAGGCCAGGAAGCCACTGGCCTCCTTGGCCACCTGGGCACACACTGGCTCATGTTCAGCCACTGTCAATCAGCAGCCCCAGGTCCTTTTCCACCAGCAGCTTTCCAGCCACTCTGCCCCCCAGCCTGCAGCACTGCCTGGGTTTGTTGTGACCCAAAGGCAGGACCCAGTACTGGACTTGTTGAACCTCACACAATTGGCCCCAACCCATTGATCCAGCCTGTCCAGATCCCTCTGCAGATCCTTTCCATAAATCAATATTCCCACCCAGTAGATTGATATTCCCACCCAAGTTGGTGAGAGTCTGCAAACTTTCTGAGGGTGCACTTGATCTCCTCATCCAGATCATTGATACAAATATTAAACAGAACTGGCCCCAACAGTGAGCCCTGGGGAGCACCACTTGTGAGCAGCCATCATCTGGATGTTATTCACCACTACTCTCTGGGCCTGGCCATACAGACAGCTTTTCATCCAGCAAAGAATACACGCATCCAAGACATGGGAAGACAGTTTCTCAAGGAGAATGTTGTGGGAAATGGTGTCAAAGGCTTAACTGAAGTTTAGGTAGACAACATCCACAGCCTTTCTTTAAACCACTAAGTGAGTCACCTTGTCATAGAAGATCAGTTGGTAAAGCAGGACATGCCTTTCATAAGCCCATGTTGTCTGGACCTGATCCCCCAGCGGTCCTGTATGTGACACTTGCTGGCACTCAGGATTATCTGCTCCATTTTAGATTGCTTATCAGTTTTTCTAAAAGGAACTTGGGGCTTATTTAGGTGGAATTTTATCTCAAAAAACCAAATAAATAAATAAACATGCTAAGTGACATTTAAAGAAAGAAATGGTTTTAAGCAGCTGAAATAGCTCAAATAAGCCAAAGTCTTTAACTTTACAGTTAAACTTGGCTTTAACTAAATAATGTATTAAAAAACTCTTTTCATGATAACTTCCACTGTGGTCTGTGATAAAACATTACCGTAGAATGAAAGTGAATTACAGAAATGCTTGATACTGGGGAAACTTTCAAATATAGCAAGCAGAAAACAGAAATTAATTTACCTTTTATGGGTTTTTATTATTTATCTTGCTATGTTTCCTAATTAATTGACGATATTGATGTTTACATAGGGATTTGCTCCTTTCCAACTTTGCTTGATCCTGTGAAGAAGTCAGAATGCTGCATTTGTAGTATCACATTTATTGCCATGGCAACAGCCAGGGATTTCACAAACACTAATTAGGGTTGGCAACTTGGAATGTTTTCACTATGGTCCCATATAATTTTCCCTCTTTTATCCATTTCTCATTATAGCTTACTTTAACGATTGACTTCTTCAGTCTGTGTACAGGTTTTTCCTGCATTTTCCTCAGGATTCAGCTAATACCTCCTCTGATTTGCAGCCACTTTTCTTGTATGTTCTCACACACTCAGTTAAGAAGCAACTGCAGTCCTACCTGCATTTGTGTTAAGCTCCATTTCTTCCACT